GTCTCGGAAGACCAGGTAGGCCTAGATCTAGGCCTGCGCGGTCTTCTTGGAAAGCGTCAAAACTGTGTAGTGTGACGTCATGAATTGGAAAGCTATGCGTTTATTGGTCGATTTTACGCCATGAGCGATGGCGGCTGACCCTTCTAATCGGCGTGTGGCTGCCTGCCGTTCTCCATTGGCCTGTCCAGTCTAGGTATATTTACCATGTCTCTGGGGAAAACGGGTACATTTTGAAGCCATATTGGTTGGGTCTAGGCTAAAGCGGGCCTGCGGTGTGCATTGGCCGAGTAATGGAGCAGGTACCGCGGGAATACTGGAGCAGCCTTTCTGAATACGGAAGCATGCCCTGCCAATACCGGCCAACGCCTCTACCATGCATCTCGTGGTCGCCCACAGTTTCCTTTAGCCTATGTTTACCTTTGAACGTTCACTCGAAGTTCGTTTGACTTTATGCCTTAGACTTGCTGTAAATTATGTCGACTGTGATGATGCAAGGGCGGCGTAACGTTATCGCCTTAGTAGGCCCAGCAAACTCAGCAAGGGCAGGCCTGGAACTTGGATGCCCACTCAAGAAATGGGAGACTCGCCCACATGAAAGAAGAATTCCGACATGACTTTATCAGCCCTATGATACTCCCCCAGAATTATTAGGCCTCCGGTACCATGACTGCCTGCCATCATGATCACGACAGCAAGAAAACTGGGATGGGAAATTATGGAAATCCCATTGTAGTGAATGGAGAAGAGCCACCACGGACCCAACTAGGATGGCTTCCAATTGCCCCAAATCCATCGTATTGTGCGTCATCTCCAGTTCTCTTTCTTAGCTCAGTGGCAGGGACCCATGCCCTCCCCTCCGTGAACCAAATTTCAAATATAAATTTTGCAATGAAACTGCCATTTGGGTGCAAAAACGTCACAAAACGAACTCAGTCTGTCTTGTTCATTCCTTTGTGCGTGCCAATTTTAATATTGATGGGGCCAAAAAAATTTCAGGTAACATCTGACAACAAAAGCGTGACACATGCTTAGGGCATGTGCCCGCGTGGCCACGCCTTCTGGACGCGAGGAGCGAGAACGCGAGGAGCCGGGATGGGATCCCAGGCGAAGTCAAGCGGGGTTTCACATTCTTCCCTTCTTTCGTGTTTGAGCCATAATCATGACGTCATCCTGTTCCGTTTCCGTTTCCGCTGCGTGGACGAGATTATCCAACACTTTCGACGAACAGATAGCGCCGCAGATAAACTCATGCATCAAGAGAATTCGCGATGATAGCGTGATGGAACCGAGGCGTTGGATCGAAAATGCCGAAGGGCCGACACTCTCAGATGCAAGCTCATGTCGTTGAGCCACTGAAGGCCCTTCATGAGTAATTAAGGGCTTTTGGTGTCCAATTGAAAAAAAAAAGACATTTCCCTGGGGCTTGTGCCTGCGGGGCCACACCCTTCTGTCGTGCCTAGTTCACGCCGCAACTTCAAAATGCAATTTTGAAGTTGACATGCAATTTTGGAAATGAATGGTCTGGACTCAGTGACCCTGGTCCGCCTTCGCATCAACCGGAAAGGAAAAAGTAAGGAAATGCGGTGAAGAACCAGGAGAAACGAGACTCGAAACTCAATCCCACTTCGTTGAGAGCTCTAACCTGTTACCTTCGGCTTCGCCGAGGATTTTTGAACTCTGAGCTGTATTTGCCTTCCAGAATAGTTGTGGATGATGTAATTTGTTGTTTGTTTTGAATACCAAAATGTGGGGTAGTTCTTGATACATTTCAATGTGAATTCCAATTGCATTACTGATGCAGGAAGTAAATTTTTTCATCAGTGCGCGAAATTTCGTTTCTGAAATTTCAGACTAAAATGAAATCCCTTTTTGTCCCTTTCTCTCCTCGTTCATCCCGAATGACTTTACGAACGACCTTCAACGGCGAGAATCGGTTTCCCGGCCGTTCCTCCCCGCGTGGAGGAAGGAAACGAATCAAAGAGACCGAGAGAGGGAGGAAGAGTCGGGCCGAACGGGACCGAGCGGGGCCGAACGGGGCCGAGCGGGGCCGAACGGGGCCGAGCGGGGCCGAACGGGGCCGAGCGGGGCCGAGCGGGGCCGAGCGGGGCCGAGCGGGGCCGAACGGGGCCGAGCGGGGCCGAGCGGGGCCGAACGGGGCCGAGCGGGGCCGAACGGGGCCGAGCGGGGCCGAGCGTCATTCCCAGAAGTCGCTTTTGGTTGATGGATCGATGGGTATAACCTTCGACTCCTTCGAGTGGAATCAGAACTTGGTATGGGAGACCAGAAATCAATTCACTGGGAATGCATATCAATCGTTTGATTACAGATTTATTTAAGTTCATGAGGAGGTCAGGGAAGTTAAGCAAAAAATAAGAAGGAAGCAAGAAATGGAGTTCCCATTTTCCGGCAGAAAAACGTCGTATCTGGAGGGCGACGGAATTCCGAAATCCCTATATTATCTCCTCCTCCTCCTCCTCCATCCCACTCACTGGAAGTGCAGGGCATCGAGGTGACGCCGACGCGGTATCGAGAGTCACGGCGGCCACGAAAGAAAAATGGAAATAAAAGGAACAGCCGTTGAATCAACAGGGAATATGGCGCGTAATAAAAAGATAAGATCCCCTCTCCGGAACGCAGTGAAAGGCCTCTGCACACTCGCTGAAAGACTCCAAGCGGAAAGAGATGGGGATCGACGTGCAAGCCCTGAGGAAGCCACCGGCTCTCTTCAAGTTCGGAGAAATCGTGAGTCTTTCTCTCCCTCCTTCTCTCCCTCCTTCTCTCCCTCCTCTCCCTCCTTCTCTCCCTCCTTCTCTCCCTCCTCTCCCTCCTCCTCTTCATCTCGAGTTGGCCGCACGTCGCAGGGTGTGTCTATGTCTCTTCGTGCAGGTGCTGGGGTTGCTGGTGCTGGCCCTGTGCCGGGGATCCAAATTGCTCTTGAGGAATCTCGACCAGACCTACTTGGTCTTGGGGTCCCTGGTGGGACTGCTCCTCTCCACCGTTGCCTTCCCTTTCGCCCACCTCTTCGGCCACAAGCCGGGCACCGTCGTGAGTTTCAACTACTTGATCCCGCATCGGAGAAGCGCGGAATCCTGACTGCAGCAGTTGCGTGTTTGGACCACCGTGCGCCGATACGCCATTTTTCCGGGCATTCCAGAACTGCACTTCGTGATCGAGATCGCCACATTGAGGCATTAAAGCCCCAATCCTCTATTGATGACTAGCATCATCATGAAATGCGCCCGTCGGCCAACAGGGCGATGCGTGATAGCCCACGCCTGTAGAAATCACAGATAAGGCTCGCACGTACGATGTTATAAGGGTGAGTCAACAAGTAAAGACACAAAAGTGAATTTCATATATTCAATGGAACCTTTCAAGTACAAAATTTGTCACTTTTCCACACAATCCCCTTGCACACTGATACATTTATCCAATTTTGCCACAAGCTCTTTTAAGGCAGGGGTTCTCAACCGGCGTGCCACGGTCCATGGATGAATGGGAGATTGAAAATCGCTGCGTTAAGGGACCGAATAGATGATAATCCGATGATACGAGGTCAAGACTGCTGGCTGGATGTGACAGAACCAAGGTTGCTGATGCTTCCCATAGTTTTTGGTCTTCCCGGGCAATGCAAAGCACTCGTGTCTGGTTGCCCCTTTTCCAGCCGTTCCACATTTCGGCGGTTCTTGCAGTTACCTCCATGCTGTCTAACCGTTCTGTGATTGGTGTCAGCGGTCCTCACACCTTCCGACCATAAAAATCTGATAACAACCTGTTGTTATCAGACATGCCTCTATTGGAGCCGCCTTTTTTTTTTACTGGACAATGGCCTTTCAGGAGGCCATTGATTTTTTAAATCCTTACGTAGGAGGTACCAATCTTCAACACCCATCAATAACTGTACCTACACGGTTGCATTATTGGTCACAAACATTTATCGTGTCTTTACTTATTGACTCGCCCTCATATAAGTGCATTCAGCGAAGCCTCGTAGTCGACTCTCGCTCTCCCTGGCCATTCATGGCGAAAATCCTTAAGTGAAATAGGTGGATATTAACCCCTCCAGACATGGGTCCCTTTCTCAGCCTGCCGGGTGCAGCAGCTGCGTACCTCCAGTCGTTCTGGCCTCCGTCTCCTCCGTAAGAGGAACGGCTGCAAGCAAGAGAGAGACAACTAGCTCAGACGTGGGGTGACTGCGCATGCGCAAGGCGGTGCCCCGCCCCGTCTAACTGTGCATGTTCCTCACGCACCGGGGGAAGGAAGATTTAAAAAAGAGCTGTCGTGACACGCTCAGGTCACGTGACCACAGATCCGTCCCTGTATTCGTCTGCTTTTTGCCGCCGAGCCCACACGTCTTGCTCTGTTCATGGTGTATTGTACCTGATTTCTCGAAGGCCTACTTGTATTAGGGTCATATTCTTTTTCGTCAGCAACGGCAAACACTCCATCCAGAATAGTTACTTGTACTCCTTCTCGGCTGGCCTGATTTCTATGGTGAGGTTAAAAATGCCACGTACTTTAAAGCTCTAAGAACTAGTCGAGACTCGAGATCGATCAGGTTCTTGACCTGTGAGACCGAGGCTTAAATGCGGTTTTGATTGAGAAGCCAAGAAGAAAAGCTTCTTCTGCAGTAGCTAGTTACCTCCTTGTAAGATTTATATGTTCGACCATGCCCTCGATCCTACGGTACCATGTTACCAGGAGCATGAAAATGAAATACAGTAGTTAAATTCGTGCTCACCTTCCGAATCGCATTAACATATTCGAAGGAGACCGACGAGATGTGTGAACCCTTCTGCCTGCAAAACAGCAGCATGGGAAAGGAAAGAAATTTGAATGAAAGCTTTGGTGAAGCTGATCAAAGCTTTCAAGGATTTCGGGTTTCGGTCGAAAAACATTCATTGGACATATTCCAGGAGGCAAATTCAGGGGAAATTTCTGCTAAAAGCACTGCAATCATCCATGCCCCAGGTGTCCAGCTCCACCATGACAATGGGATCATGGAGGTGATCAGGAGCCCTCAGGGAATACTGTCCCCCCCCCCCCCCCCCCCCCCCCCTCCGCCCCCCCCGTTGATGGGTCGTTTAGCAGAGGTCTAGCTCTCTGGGGAAGAGCACCAGTAGGCTGCAAGAATTCGGGGAAAATCCATCATGACTCCGCTATGATCACGTGACCTAAGCCTTTAACGAAGCCACAGTCGTTTTTGAAATACTGTCGCAAAATGCACCTGATTAAATCACTTGCAAAAAAAAAAATTTTTTTGTCATGCGAAATTCCACGACAGCCACACTAAACATTTCAAGCACACGCAGCATGTAAGCTGGCCTTTCTCGGCGGAAACGAGCCTCGCCCATCGATTCAACTGACACGACCGCTTTTCCCGTTTCGGTTCCTTAGGACATAGCCCATGGAGCGTTGTGCTCTCTGTTCTACCTGGCCTCGGGGGGCATCTTGACCGACACTGGGTCCGACGTCAAGGGTTACAAGGAGGGGAAAATGATGCTCGCCTCGGGAGTGTTCTCCATCTTCCTCGGCATCGTCTTCATCGCTGACGTCCTTTTCGTCTACTTCAAGGAGCGTAGGGCCAGCGCGTAGACCAGAGGTTCCTGAGGTTCTCGGCGCGTTTTATATCCCTGTTGATTGTGTAATCCTGATAATACATTTTCCATTTCTGAGCCGTTTTCTTCCTTGACTGGACTCAAACCGCGCAAGAATCGAACGATAAACCGATCACTTCCGTAAATACGTGCACGTTTCGTAATAATTCGTCTTGTACCGATGACGATGAGAGTATCGTACACTGTAAAAAAAATATTCAATAATTCCGACTAAGGCATCGGAAACTGGGTTTCCATCAAATGCGCGGAGTAGGGAATTCCGATTCATTGTGGAAACAATATTTCCTATTTTTTTTTTAGCGTAAACGTGCTGTTTCGAGAAATCTTCGGAATCCATCCCTCCGACTAAAGCGAGTAATGGAGCTTTCCTCATTTGCCGGAAAATTCCAATCCACTGTCGGAATCGGGTTTCCATTCACAGAAGTAAATTTCCGTCTCGTTCGGGTTTTCCTTAATCGCCTTCATTATTCAAAAACGGCTCCTTTCCATTCGAAACACTGCACGATGAATGGGATTTCATTATCATTACGCGACCTCCACTTATTAATTCGCGAGTATTTGGTGCATCTCTATCACAGAGAAGCTGTAAGTCCTATTCAGTAACGCGATTATTCTGTACCTCCCTTTAATGACATTCGTAAAATTCTTGCGACCCATTCTCTTCTCGCCTCTCTCTCTTCTCAAAGAGAAAGTGTCAGAGAAGAAGCACCGAGTCCTGGATCTTTCATACTTTGATCGGTCCGAGAAGTGCGGGCCGCCGGCAGCCAGAAAATGTAGAGGATGTCGGTGAAGCAGGGCGTCTTGAGTTTCGGAGCCGTTCCTCTCCCAACGGGAAGAAGCTGTGATTTTTGCTCCTCATCTTTCCTGTATCCCGTATAAGGAAATACATATAAAATTACTTTTCTTCTTGAGAATGGAAACCATTCGTTTATCGGAGCATCACGATGGTAAGTGGCTGTGATTTAAGTGGCTAGTGATCGGATCGGATACTGAGCGGATTTAACATCGGAGGCTACTAGAAGTCATCTATCGTTCGGGTTGGAGACGTATTAGGTATCGGGTGATCTCCTCAAGGTGCCAATACCGATGAAAGGCATCTTCGAGGAAAACACATGAAAAAAAAAAAAACAGAAAGACAAAAAATAAAGACTCGACTGTGTGCGGATTCATTAACTCATTGGCTTCGGAGAAACCGGCAGTTTCTTTGGGATTTTCGTGCATTTTTGCATGAGCAATTTCTGAGCTATCGAACGACAAAAAATCCATGGAATATGTCGTTCTCGGAAATTAACAAGCCAATGGGCTAAATAGCGGGTGCCACTTCTAAAGGCGCGACGGGTGGAGACGGGCTTCCGTCCCGTCCGTTTTTTCGCGGGGATCGAACGTTGAACGCGGTGGGGTAGATTTAAGCGGGAGTTGCGAAATTGCCCTTGCGGGTGAGACGACGTAGTAAGTAGTCAATAGAATATAAATAGCGCGACGATGGAAGCTTGGAGCGTCTCCTCTGATCGAGCGGGAAAGGAGCTGCGGCCTCAGCAAAAACTGGAGTATTTCACCTCCAGGAGGAGTAGACTATCCGCAGGCACACGTTGTTCGCACCGGCACCGTATCGCGAGGCATCGTGGATAAGACATGGACAATAAAAAAAAAAGAGCCGGCGATGCTTGCGCGGGAAAAATGGCGCGCGCGTGTGTCAACAGAGAGAGCAGAGAACGATGAGGCGCAGACGGCCTCGCCGCAACTCTTTTCGGTTATATCAGTTATCCGGTTGTCTCAACCGAGATTTTTAAAAAATTAAAAATGAATAATAATAATAATAGGGAGATGCCACCCACTCTCGAAACGCACTCTAACTCGGCGACGAATGCGACGCGACCGATATGAAAAAGGCAGATCGAAGACAGAAAGAGGCTCGATGGAAGGAGAAACCGCTTCACGGCCAGCATCCCAAAATCATCGATAAACCATCTGTCGACTCGAACTTCAGCTACAACTGGCTGAAGAAGGGGCTGCCGAAAGCCGAGACAGAGAACCTAGCCATTAGAACTCGCAACTACGAGAAGCAAGTCCTGAAGCCGGATGTGGGAGACCGCTGCCGGTATCGTCACGGCTCGTCCGAAACGGTTCGCGACCTCCTAAATGCCTGCCCCGAACTCGCCTCGAGGCGTAGACACGATTTGTGCAGACACGACCAGGTGTGCAAATGCCTGCACTGGTCTGTCTGCAAGCAAGCCGGATTCGCGGTCCCAGAGAAATGGTACCAACACCAGCCACAGCCTGTCGTGGAGAATTCCTCCATCAAAGTACTTTGGGACATGCCCATAATTACAGACCGCACCATCGCCTGTAACAGACCGGACATTACGATCTATAGGAAGGAAAATATGACCGCCCAACTCGTAGATGTGAGCATCCCAGCTGATATCGACCTGCAGGTGAAGACCAGGGAGAAGGTGGAGAAATACTCCGAATTGAAAGTGGAAGTGAAACGGCCATGCGGAATGAAGACCACCATCGTTCCAATCATCAGCGGCACAACCGGCGTCGTCCTAAAAAGACCACAGGGGACACGGTAAGAAGCTGGAATGTCAACTATCACTCGACTTCCTCCAGCGTACAGCAATCTTGGGCACGGCCAACATCCTCTGCAGTGTCCTATCGAACTAAGGCTAGTACGGGGACCGGGATGTGGCTCATCCCCTCTCATACCTCCTATACCGACATTCGCCGTGAAAGTACGACGATAATAATAATGATTTAAAAAAAACTAGACGATCCCCAGGCCTCTTGAAACACTGGGAAATCGCTTGACCACCAACACGGTCAGCGCCGCCACGCTCTTGCCCTCCAGCTGCTGAGGGTCCCGGCCGATCGCTGGGACTCGGGCAGGGGGAGGATCCTCTACCCCCTTCCCCTTTCGTCGCGTTTCCATTTACGATTCGTGGTGCGTTGCAATTTCATTGCTTTTGCATGCTTAAAAAACGCAGCGGCATAGCTATTTATCGTGCGTATTTAGTACTAGCGAGTTTGATTGCCCTTCGGGCAAACAAATTCGCTGTGGTCGCGCCTTCGGCGCTCCATTACCTTGGATAGTGATTAATTCATTAATTTTTTGCGAAATGGGAAACGTTTATTTAAAGTACGTCCCAATTGAAATGCGTGATGTATGGGGTCGAAAGTCTTGATTTTGATCAAAATGATTACTTCTATAATTCGTTGTGTGCCTAACTTGAAATCCTTCCTTGTGTCCATTTTTGTAAGGGTGGAGAATACATTTAGAAATACTTCCCTCCTATAATCTACGCTAAGGAGACATTTCAAAAGTAGGATTTTTCCTGTACTCAGCCATCAAATAGGTACTTCTGAGGCAAGCTTACATTTTATGTCTCTGTTTCGTTGGATCAAAAAAAAATTAGGAAAATGGGACTGAAAAGAGTGCCTTGATTTAACGAAAAATGTTTTCTTTTGAAATGTAGACTGAGGGAACTCCATGCCACCCAGTTTCTGCCTTATATGTTTACCCTTTTTGCTGGCGGAAAAAATGTATTTGGAAAAGTGACCCACCCAAAAACTATGCTCTCAGGAGACGCACAAGAAAAAGTGAATTTTTCCTTAAATCAACATCACGTCCGTTATGCGTGTGGCAGCAATTTTTCTATTTCTGCCCGATTCGGCAGGACATGAAAAATTCTTCGAAAACGTTACGTCCCAAGAAATACGAACCTAAAAAAAATGAGGAAATTTGGCATTTGACATTTGAGCTCAGTGCGTCAACGGTCACGTTCTTGCTTTCCATGTGTCTCCGTTTGATTGAAGCAAAGAGAACTATTTGAAAATACGTTCCCTGAAAGGTGTGCCCCTATTGCATGTACCACCAAAGTAGAACTTTCCCTGAACTCAGCATGTGAATAGCTACTTATGTCAGTCAGCTACTCACGATCGTCTATATATAATAAGAGTAGAATTTTTTCTTTACTTAGCTATCCATCAGGTACTTTGCCAAGTTTAAACTTTCAAGCGCCCGCTGTTTTGCTGGATCAGGAAATTCATGAAAATACGGCTTTTGCAAAATAAGTGCCCTGAGCCGTTTTAACCGAAAAGTACCATTTTTTTAAATACCGAAATCCACCCTCAGCGAACTACATGCCCACAAACTTTCAATATTATATGTTTGCCCTTTTCGCTTGTGTAAAAACATGTTTGGAAAAGCCGACCCACTCAAAAGCTACGCCCAAAAGGGATGCATCATGAAAGCTGAATACTCCCTCAGCTTAGTACACGTAATATCATGTCACTTACACGTGTGCCAAGTTTCTCCTTTCCATTTCTGTCCAATTCGCCACAACAATTTAATTTACTAAGTTTCACCTTTCCACACTAGGTCAATACGCCAGGACAAAAAAATACTTGAAAACGTCGGCCCCAAAAAATATCCCCCAGGGCATGGATCTATTTTGCATTTTTCCTGAACTCATCGTCTCGGTAGACACCTCCATGCCAGGTTTCAGCTTTCCAAGTCTCTCCGTTTTATTCAAGCAAAAATAATGTTATGGAGGGGAATCAGTACCGGGACATGAACCCGGACCTTCCGATTGCCGGTCAGATATGCTACTACTACACCACCGAACCAAGGACATCCAGTTGGCTCCCTGAATGCCATCCTCATCTGTCACAATATATATTTAAGAAAAACGTTTACCCCCAAAATTTGTACCCCCAGGGCATGTACCTCCAAAGTCGGATTTTTTCTGAACTCTGCATCCCAAAAGGTACATGTGTACCAAGTTTCAGATTTCTAACCATTTCTAGGACATGGTTAGAATTAGCGTCAGTCAGTCACGATCGTCTATATATATTAGAGATGCATCGACAGTACTTGAGATATANAGAGATTGAGTGCGTGTCAGACGCGGATGAGAGACTCGTAGGGATCCTTTACGATCCTTTCGTCTTGCGTTCCCTGTGGGTGCCAGCGGCACCCAGGAAATGTAGATGATCTCTGTGAAGCGGGGCGTGCGTCGTTTCGGAGGAGTTCATTTCTCAACTGAGAGAAGAGGC